AATCCTAAAAAAAAGGATCAGATCTCTTTAATCCTAAAAAAAAGGATCAGATCTCTTTTTTTAACTCCATACCCTAGTGTGTGTGTATTCTAAGCTGCAAAAGGTAGTGCACCTTAGTGCGAAAGACCTTGAACATTCGTTCCTCCATGTTTGCTATGTGTCTCTCTCCGAACGGATGTTCTAAACTACAAGTTCCTAGTTTGTGTTCATCACTGACAATGGCAATAAAGCTGATTCTGAGGAAACAGATCAACAGTATGACTGGGCTCCAGAGATTAGATCTTTAGAGGCAGACAGAATCTAACAAAAAAAAAATTTCCACGCACAAATACTTCAGTTTGTATGACTTGTGGATGATAAAACACCAGGTTGACGGTCATTAATTTCAAGATAAGAAAGGCTCACACTGCATTATAGATATTTGTGATGTTGAAGACATTTTCTTTTCAATGAATGTACAACTGCTGTAGTTTATTAAAAAAACATTAATGGATAATGAGGGAAATATTTCCTACATAACTCTGTCTGGGTTTGTGGAACTGAACAAATACAGGTATTTGTATTTTACTATTATGATTGTTGTATATATTTTGATAATCTGCAGTAATTTTGTTATTGTGTATCTGATTGTGTCAAACAAAAGCCTCCATGAACCCATGTACATCTTTATAGCAGCTTTGTTATTTAATTGTGTTCTTTATAGCATCACTGTTTACCCAAAGCTTCTGATTGACTTTTTATCTGAAAAACAGACTATATCATATTCAGCTTGTCACTTCCAGTTTTTCATGTTTTATACTGTAGGTTGMACAGAGTTCATGCTGTTAGCAGTCATGGCTTTTGACAGATATGTTTCTATATGTAAGCCTCTCAGATACCAAARTATTATGACAAAAACCACAGTGAATATATTTCTGATTCTAGCCTGGTTCTTTCCTGCTTGTCACATTACAGTACAGACAATCCTCAGTACAAAAGCTAAAATGTGTAACTTAAGGTTAAGAGGAATACTTTGCAACAATGTCATTTATTCAGCTCATTGTGTGAAATCAGGACCAATTGCTATTTTTGGGGTTGTTGCTTTACTAAATACTGTATATCTTCCTATGCTTTTTACAGTTTTTACATATGCAAAGATTATTGTAATATCCTATAAAAAGTCTAAAACATTAAGGAAAAAAGCTGCTGAAACCTGCATACCTCACCTGTTAGTTTTAATCAGCTACTTTTGTTTGATGTTATATGATGTGATTGTAGCTCGACTGGAGTTTGATTTACCCCAAACTGTTCGCTTTATAATGACATTACAAKTAWTTTTATATCATCCTTTGTTTAATCCATTCATATATGGGATTAAAATGAAGGAAATTTCAAAACATGTTATTAAAATGTTTTATTAAGGCAAAGTCTGATGCYAAGAAAATGGGTCCATGGTTCCTTCTTATCCATTGTGGAAAGGAATCATATTAGTTCAAGCCTTTTTTAAACCYTATGGTAATCTTGTATTTGTTTTAGCTCAGTTTTCTTAGAAGTTTAAACACAAAGTGAGAGAGCTGGAGTCATTAATTTGAGCAAGATGTTGACCTTATAATTAGAGAAACATAACCAGAGTGTAAAGCTAATGCTTATTGTATTGTTTCATTTTCATATTGTACTTCTGCAAATTATTCTTCAGTTCTGTTATAATTGTTTTATTACATCATATTATCGAGTAGAAAAATRTGTGATTGTTTAATGGTTCCAAAAAAAACCCCACTTAGATATCACTTAGCAATCAAAAAAATACAGTGTGTCATGAAAATCTTTATTTACCCAAAACAGAAACATGGTCCAAAAARAAAAAGTACTCCATGAATGGTCAATCAGGATTTATTGCAATTGTAAGACACACATCATGTCACAKAGGGCAGTGGTACATGTGCGCCATGAGGCAGTTTCAAACACACACATTTGTACAGTATGTTATCCAAACWGACAAGAAACATCTTTCCTGGTGCTGAAACTGGGCCAAGAAGAGAATGATGTTTGATAAACAACAACAAGAATGATTACCTCTAAACAGATATCATCCTGATCTTAAAARARTTTGTCRGAGAGAAAACAGAAGATGAAGAGGGAAATTATATTATAAAACATCATGACATTTTAAGGTATACAAAAGAAGTCACTGATGCTTGGCCTGAGAAGAATGTAGGACTTTAAAGGATCAGTTATTTTTCCAAACAACTCCTTCCTTTTGATCAAATATTGATCACTAAAATAAGTTTGGATAAATAATTTGTCATTTCAAAATTTTGAAATAAGTCTTGGTCTAAACAAGTCATAAGTGAATGAAATAATCAAGGAAACTGACTTTGACCCCAGGCCTCTGATGGGCCTTCAAAGGGACAAAAACGCTGTTCCACTCTGAACTGAATCTAGGCCACCTCAGGTCACCTTAACTTGTCAAAGAGACATTCTCTTTATCTTAACCAGATAATAAACAGAATAATCGTCTTTTCGTGTGATTTATTGTTCTCTTAACTGAAAGTTGTTATGCATTTTGATAATCAGAGAATGTTTATCAAAGTTACAGGAGAAAAGAGGACAGATCTCTTTTCTCAGTATGATTTCAACTATGTATGAATTTTCTGTGCAAAAATCTTATTTAACTAAACTAATCTGTGTGGTTTAAAMTTGATGAAAAATGTTTTYTTTGTCWGAATCATGTTTGCAAATGTTTTGAATTTGAAGCAATTTGTTGTTTCAGTTATGTTTTTAAAGAAGTTCTTATCAGATAACTAAACAGGTCTTGAAATGTTTGTTTCTTAACCACACAGAAGCAATAATCTTTGTTTAGCTTCAAGAGGCGACAGCGAGACTCTTTTTTTGTGAAGAGAAAATAGAGAGAGAGAAAAACAGAGAGAAGTAATTAGAAAGACAGAATGATTGAAATAGCGATTAGAAGTATATTAAATATACACCAACAAAACACAGGACCACACAACCAACATCTGTCCGCTC